TTTCTTTCACTTCTTTGTAGTTGTTGTATCTCTTCACCACTGAGCATCCCAAACCAATCATTCCCAGGTTGTGCCACTACGACCTGGCCCGGTCCGAAGCCATTCTCACCGCTCAGCACCACTCAGCTCAGTACCAGGTGTGTGTCGACACCAGGTTTGTGGAGCCGTTCCAAGCCCAGCTGAGGTCTTGCTACATGGTCTTGGGAGAGGCTGAACACAGGGAAGGTAAACTCCGGCCATCAGGGCACTTTACAGCTGTTCACGGTTCATCTTCATAGCTCCCTGGGTGCAGGGTGAGACGCAGTGTCACCGAGGTCAGGGTTGGCCAAGGCAGGCTCATCTGCCCGGTCACATGAGCATGTGATTCGGGGCAGGAGCAGCCTGTCTCTCCCCATTGACCACAAGAAGAGCCACCATTATCTTGGTGAAAATCTGATGCTCCGGCACAGATTTTGTTAGAAACGAGAAGCACCTCAGCAGCATCGCTGGGCTTGTGAAACCTGTGCTAAAGCCTTCTGGCATCACAGCCAGCCACCACATCATCTTCGCTCCAAACGTGGCTGATTGCAGCAACAGCTCGCTGTCAGCTGGCTGGGTTGGTCTTTGCCGTTCTTGACAGACTAATTATATCCCTGCCTTCAGACACAGGGCATGAGGAATGCAGGCAGGCTCTGTCACGCAGGACACCTGGTTGTCCTTTCCCGCGGTGCTCTGAGCATTCCTCCAGCCACATGGTGCTTTGCGTGGGGAGTTGATCTGGGCTGGGCCATGGGCTTGTGAAGCAAATGCTGAGTATTGTCTTTGCCACACCTGATAATAAGTGTTTGCATTCGTGCCATTGAAATCCTCGGTGGCATGTGGAAGGCCACACTGCATGTGGCATCTGGTGAATAACCTACTAAGCCATTGCCACAAAATTCCTTGAGAAAGACTTATTATTTTGGTCATCACAACTTAGGAATGAGTGGACCTCATTCTGCAGGAGTGCAGGCTGTGTCACCAAGGTTTGGCCCCTTTTGTGCAGCTCCCTGTTACCATTTGAATGCCAACTGCTGGTTATAGTCAGCTTTGAGTCTTTTGTAAGTGCAGCTTTGTTCTGTCCCCTTCTTGTCTGCGGAGAGGCGTTCAGAAAAGAGCTCACACCTATCCCTGATGCTTCCTAGACAGGGAAAACCAAACTTCAGCCAGCCACGAAGAGATGCCGCATCGCAGGCACTGACATCGACACCTTCTGGGCTCAGCGTTCCCAGCACTGTGTCAGTCACCAGCACTTTGTAACCAACAGGACAGAGGGAAAGCATGTCACTGAATTAATCTGCTCCCAGACCTGCTGCTCGTGTCAGTGGTGGCGTGCGGCTGCTCCAGTCTCCTGCGAGTTCTCGGACTATGGTTATTTGGCCAGCTGGGGCCACATCTGCCTGAGGGATCCTCTCTGTTTGCCTCCCACCTGCTCTGTCTGTTTTTCTGTCTACAGAACTTCCTGTTTGTATTCCCAGGTGAAGGTCCTGTGGTAAAGGCGCGAATATTGACCTGCATGGAAGGGCTGAATGTGTCCTTGCTGGAACAAGCCATACAGGAGCAGAGGAAATACTTCAAGGAGAGGCAGGAGCAGACAGGAGACAGCACATCCTGCCAGCAGCTCTGAGACCAGCCACGGGCTGGTCCTTGCACCAGCATTTGCAACAAACATGTTAAAAGTAAATGTAGAATGTGGGTTTGCAGGTACTGCTTTTTTGCTGTGGCAAAGAGCAAAGTCAAGTCACTAAGCAGGAAAACACTCAAAGACTGTCAGTATGTAACTGTGGGTTGTCTGTTCATGCCAAGTGTCATCACTGAAATAGCGCCAGGAAGCAGACTTGTTTGTTTAAAAGGGTGGTTAAGGAAAGGGAGCGCTGGAGTTGCAGTGGTCCCTCTGGTAATGCAAGGCTTGGAGACGTCAGAGAAAGGAGGTCCCTGAATCTCCAGTTAAAGAGCTCCCACCCGCACACGTTGCCCAAGCGCAGTGGGTTACCAGGCTGTGGGCAGATCGGAGGCAAAGGGCATGAGCACAAAGTTCGTTAGGCTTGGGTGGCTGTGGGTCTGTGAGCATGTGTGTGCGTTTGGTTACCATGACTCAGCTGCCACACAGGAGCATTCCTGGCAAAAGCACATATGGACTGACCAGCAAAGAAACAACAACAAAGAGTTACTGTTTTCAGCAGCACTTGCCTCTGCCGGTTATCAGGAGCTGGCATCCAAGGAGGAGATGGACTTTGGCTCTAAAGTAAATATTTCCAGTGCCCTAAGAACCATGACTTGATTTCTTCCTTGACACAACTAAGTGTAGGAGATGTGAAATCACTATTTTTTTGAAGCATCTAAAGCCTTTGATGTTTTCCTAAATAAAGATGAAAAGAGAAGGCAGCCTGTATTTTACGGATTGAAAACCTTTCTTGCCAACACAAATGCATTAGGCCCTGCAGAACCGCTATGGATGGTGTTAAGAAAATTTAGCGATACGCAGGTTTCCTCCTTTTTCTAAGCACTGAGTGTGCAAGGAAGTATGTGCCTTTGAAAAAGTTGCAGGAGAGAAGATGAAGTTACATCACAGCTACTCTGATTTAAGAACATGGTGCCAGGCCCACCTGGCAGAATTAAACCAACAAAAAGAAAAAACACTAGTGGGAGATGAGAATAAAATGTTAGTGCAAGTGAGAGAAGACTCTCCTGTACTATAGGAATCCCTGGACCTGGAGTGGGCTGGGACTGTGGTTTGCCGGGAGATTCAGCCACCTGCAGCCTTTCCTGTTTTTTTCTCAGCTTCTCTGAGAAAATAAGGACTGAAGTTGTACAATGCACAGCAGCAGATCAGAACACCACAAGTATTGGCAAAGTTCCCTGTTACCAGCAGCCTTGATTCGATGGCTCAGTAATTACAGTGCTTGCTATATTCTTTAATCATAGTTTAGCCGTATGTTTTTTCTTCACACAGTCACGGAGATCCAAAAGCCCTGCCCTGTCCTGCTGTGCCCACCCAGAAACGTGGAGCCCCAGGTCTTCCCAAAGTCAATCCCTGTGGCTCTACCTTTCCTGGTGCCGTGATGCATAATGTTGGGTTTTTTTAATCCTGGGTTCTTGTCAGCTGTCACATCAATGATTAACCCGCACGCCAAGGACATCCTCCGAAAGGCTGAGCCGGCGGCACAGGGTGCAGCGAGGAGGTTCAAGGGGCAATTGCTCAAGATCAAACCCAAAAGCAGCCAACCAAAAACAAAACAACAAAAAGAGACATTTCTGCTGTGTGTTTGACCTGAGCATGTCCCGGGGAACCTTATTTGTGCACCATGTCCCCTCTACGCCAGGCACTGCACAAACAGAGCCTGAGAGCTGCCCTCGGTCCTCTGCGCTCCCCGCTGCCTTTCCCACAAGCCCAAAGCATCTCTTTACAACCGTTTTCCCTCAATTTTTCCTTTAGCCAGCACACTGCACAACCTGAGACACGAGGCAAGCCA